CCACCCCGCTAACGGCACAACCCGCCCGACCCTTGACCGTTTCGTCGATGCCCGATGGCTGGCCCTCCGCACCGCCCACCATTACTCCGTGTGCGGCATTTGAAAAATTCGTAAACGGTTAGTACACTTTTAATATTCTTAGTTATATTTTTAGCGTCAGTCTTGTGTAAATTAAATTTTACTTCAAAAACGTTTTAACGCACACACACGGTGTACAGCAGGGGGCAAAAGGCGAAGCATATGCACACATGCACATGTGCAGGCGCGTTTTTTTCGAAGGACACACTTGAGTCGGGGTTGCTCTATTTCCGTTTCCGCTTCCATCTCATTCCCGTTGCTGGTGCCGTAGCCGTTTGCCGTTGCTGCAGGGCCGCTGCTTGTTATAAAAAATTGCTGCTCGACGTTACATATACATATATATATGTATATATATATATTTAATAAAATGTATATATATATAATATATATATGCGTGTATACACATATAAGGTTTTATTCAATTCACACGTAGACGTTTGTTAAAAAATGCATTTTTCTTATGTAAAAATGTTATTTTTTTAATATCCATGTTATGACTGACCATTTCGGTTTTAAATCTCCTCCGCTCCGTAAATATTCTTGTATGTAATTTGGTTTCGGTTTTGTGTTGAGACGCCATTGAGATATTGTTCTTGTACATTTAATTATATGTATATGTATATGTATATATATATATATATTGTTGTATATACGAATCATCATCTAGGTGTATGTTTTCCTTTATAGATTATTTTAAGTATTAGTTTATAGCTTCGCCACGATCGGACACGGGAAGCTTAAAGATACACACACACGGTAGTGAGAGATAGGAGTTAGCAAACCAATTATAATTGAACTACATTTAGAGATTTTAGACAAGTCTAATGTCGAGATTATTTAGAGCTAATTTGACACAACCGTTTAATTCAACTATTTCATATCGTCATCATATTGAAGCATCTTTAAGCGTTTGCTGGGCTCTGCTCCCTCCCGTCTATCGTCTGTGTCGACTGTGTCATGCTACTGAAAGATTCGTTGCTGATTTTGCATTTTCTTTTGCAGGTATTCAGAAGCATCTGTAAAGTATGCTACACGTCTTCAAAAATGTAATAAATAAACGATAAACGATAAGTAAGTAAGAAATAATAGCTGGTATTTTTGTTTTGGACTATTTTTTAATTAACTCTCAATACAAGACTGATACAAGTGACTGACACATTTGAATTTGGAAGAAAATTAAACACAAATTTAGTCAAGACAAGATTTAAACCAGAAAGTGAAGAACATAATTAATTGGTTCAAAGAACATTTCAAATTTGGAAAGGAAAACGGAAAAATCCAAGGATAATCCGCAGAACAATTAATTAATCTTTAATATTAGCCCAAAACCTATTTTTTTTTTGCTAATGTTAATTTGTGATTTGGAATTTGGTTGCTGTGCCACTAAAGCGTTGCGAGAGCTGAGATCATCGGGTGGATTGAAAGCCTGTCTGTGGTTGATATGCTAACATTGAAATTTTGAAGGAAGTAATGGATATGCTTCGGTTTTGCATTTGGGTTCGAAAGATTTTGCTTTGTGTCTGTGTTTCTACCGTTTGGGGAAACGACGTTGCTATTGGATTCCCTCGCTTGATCTTTAATTCGCTCTCTGCTCCAGGTGCAGCCCAGGAATAAAATTGTGATAAAAACTAAACAAAAACAAAGAAAAAACAATTTTAAACACAGAAACTAAATAACACATTAACTAAAAACTTGGTTTTTGGGTGGCTGGGTGGTTGATGGGTGATGGGTGTTAAAGTTGAAAATTATAGAACAATAACATTTTTTTTGGGTTTTATGCGGCTCGAAAGATATCCTCTATTCTGTGCTCCGTCCTGGAGCCCAATTCCGGATAAGGTTCATATTTTTCGGCCAATCCTTCTCCGCGGAGCTCGGCTCGAGATGTTCAGTTTTTTTCTTTGAGTTTTTACTTTATAATTTTCTTTTTTTCGAGTTTTGATTTAGATAATTTTTTTGTTCGTTTTTCTCTGTTTCATCCGATCACCCCCGCACAAGCGACTACCCTAAAGGCGGGGCCCGCAGTTGTTCAGATTGATATTGAGATCGTCAAACTCCATCCAGTTGGCGTTCGATTGCTGCTGGGGGTGCAGCATCTGCTGCTGGTGTTGGTTCTGGTGCGGCTGCTGCTGCTGCGATGCCATTTGCGATATTGGAGGTGGATGGTTCTCTATGGGGGATATTTTCATAAATGGATGGATGGGAAAGGAGCAGAGGGAGGATTGCTGGTTTAAAAAAACTGAAAAATAAGCATATAAGAACCAACCAAAAAGCGAATAAAATTGATTGACAAAATGGATTTTTTTTTGCAATTTTAGTATTTTCTTTTCATATTTGTTTGTATTTTTTTGTGTTTTGCATTTTGCTAAAATTATTAAGTAGCTGTTGCTTTATTGTTAGTATGTGTGTGTTTGGAGGGGTGTGTGTGTGTGTGTGTGTGTGGTTGTGTCGTTAAATATGTATTCTTTTTGTTTTCTTTTTTTGTATTACTCTTGTGTGATGATCATGGGGATAGCATCGTTAAACATATCTATCGTAAGTAGTACAAACTCATTTCCGACATTTTCCCCAACCTAACGCCTCGTATGATCCCTCATATATGTAGTACATATTACGATATATGTCTGTATCATTTAGGTAGGTAGGTACTTAGTCTAAAAACATGTGTGTGTCGTGGTGTAGAGTGTGTGTTGTGTGTGTGGTGCTCTTTACTTGAGCTGCACTTAATCAGTTGATCTTTCATTTCAATTCATTCGTTAAAATATATATATATATATATATTGTATTCTTTGCGCTATTATATATATGTATTGTATATATATATAATTCTTCTTTCTTTCACGTTTCCTTTGACGTTTTTCTAATTGCTATTTTTGTTTGCCATTTGTTCATTTCATTATATATCTAGATATACATATATATACATATATGTATGTATATATAATATAAATATTCACTATATATAATATAAATATTCACTATATATAAACTAAATAGATTTTTACGATGGGACAATCTGCTCTCTCTGCTGCTCAGTAAAAACATAAGAACTGCCTTCCTCTCCTTCCCTCCTGTCTTCCGTGTTCTCTCATTCAAGTCGTACATTAAATTGAGTTTACAAACATTTCCTCACTTCTGTTTTGGTTTTTCTTTCGTTTTTTGTATGTTTGTTTTATGTTTTTTTGTCAGCAAAAATGTTCATTCATTCGTTTGTTTAATTAATTTAATCATTATGGTTTTATGTATATTATATGTATATATATCTGTATATATAATATATTTTAATATTGTTTTAAACCTAAACAATTTATGAATTCTCGCTTTTTCAAAATATCACGTATATACTTAAGTTATGCCTTGGATTTTTACTTTAGTTATGATCTGATCTTGAACGATTAGTCTGCGGAAGATAAGATATTGCTGGGATGGTGAATCAAAACACTTGAACGCGAAACAAGTTATGAAATTTTATATATAGTTCCTTCTGCTAGTTCTTCAGTTCAATCGTTCTGCCCCGACCCCCAGCAATGAGAACCTATTCTCGTATTCGACTTGAGTATCGTGTCGTGTGTATTGTATCATCGTTTCATTTTGTTGTGCGGGCGAACGTTCTTCTCCAACTAAATAATATCCCTATTGACTGACATATATGTAAGTACTCCTTGCTCTTCTCCTGCTTGGTGGTTTCTATGTTGCTTCTTCGACTTGTTTTTTTCAGTAGTTTTTAACTAGAGCCTGTCTTCTGAATTATTGCTTTCCATTTCGTTACATTTTGTTTGGGGTTTTGCTTTCGCGCAAAGCCTTTGCTTTGCTTTTCGACAACGTCGTGTGATGCCTAATTATTGTTACGATTCGATTTAAAAATGTTTCGTTTTGTATTTAACTATTTAACAATTTAGTAAAAATTTCTCAACAATTTATTGAATCGAAAGTTTAGTTGCATTTGCGGTGGCAGGCAGCGTGTGTCGACTGACTCTCTGTGAGGGTTTCTCTATTGTATGCCTGCTGGTGGTTGGTTGCTTGCTTTCTGTGGCGACTCCTCGGGCGACCTCTGGTTGTTGTTGTTATTTAGCAGGTATTTTTGAAACCTCTGGGTTCTCTTGTTTATTATGTTCTTTACAATAGGGGCAAATAATTTCATGGTTTTTCGTTCAATAAGGCATACACACACGCACACGCACACGAGTATATATAATATATGAATATTTTTATTTCGAATTTCAGCCAAATTATGCACCAATTTTGAATGGAATTCTCGCCCGCCAGTCGCCTCACCAGCCTCCCCGCTATCACTACATTCTGCCCCCGAAAATGTTGCCCTACTCCGATTCGTATTTAAACAATTTTTTGGTTAACAAACATTCAGACATTCCTGTTTTTGATTCATCATCATCATCGTCATAACAATACAACAGAATTTGTTATGTTACGTTTACTCTTGGGTATGTAAGTATTGAATGTACGGTAGAAAAAACAGAGATGATAAAACAACATTCTTGCAGATTTCGCATTTTGCTTGATGTACATTAGTATTCACTTTACTTCTTTCCTTTCTTTCTTTTTATTATTATTATAAATTGCTGTTAAATTATTATTTACTCTTCGATTTTTTTTTATATATATATATTTAACTATATTCTTGTGTAACACACACCTATGAGTGTCTATGTATTGCTTGAGTTTTTGTTTTTTTTTTAACTATTTACTTATCGTTTTTTATGTTTTTATTTTTCCATTTTGCTAGAGCTTTGAGTTTAGCTTTTTAATAGTCTCTCTATACGAGTATGTATATGTCGTCTCGCACACATACATACATACATGATATATATGTATGTGGTATATGTGAGCGTTCTGTGTACGTTTTTCGCATCATATTTTGAATATCTTTATTGTATAGTGTGTTCTTCTATTTTTTTTTTCCTCTATTTTCCACTCACTTTTCGCTTCATCGTTTTTTAGTTCACTTTTTGCTTGGCTTATGTAACTAGATCTAACATTTTCATGTCTCTTGCATTTTTAGTATATATGTATAGTATGAATGGTATATTTTGTTTTATTTTTTGTTTTTGTTTTTGTTTTTCGTTTAGACTAAGGTTTGTTTTTCGTTCAGTTTTTTCTTTTGCAAGAAAGTGTTTTGATCGATGAGAGAGAAGGGTGGTGTCTCTCCCTCTTCTGTGTGTGTGTGTGTGTGTTTGTTTGTGTGTTAGTGTGTGCGTAGCTTTTGCTTTGACTTTGTCCGTCGTCTACTTTGCTAATTCATTTCCTTAATCCACTTCCCTTTCTTCTCATCATCTTTTTGCTTTGTATCGCTGTATGTGTATGCATGTATGACTGTGTATAACAGTATACCAGTTTACAGTTACAGTTACGAGTTACAGTTATTTTTTCATTATATTGTATATATGTTGTGTATTGTATGTATATATTTATATAAATTAATTTATGCATAATTTTATGTCTTTAATCTTCGATCGCTGCCCTGCCATCTTCACTTCTCTTCTCTTAGCTACCATATATCGTTAATATATATCCTATATCTGTATTTATGTATGCAATTTTGTATTCCGTTATTATCTATAGTATATATTTTGTGTGTCGGTGTGTGTGTGGGTGTTTCTGTGTGTTGTGTGCGTGCGTACTTTTCACATTTGCTGCCTCTGTATAATCCAGTTATGTATATAGTAAGTATCATATCCATATTATATTTATAGTATAGCTTTTAAATATTGTTCAAGTGTTCAACTTGCCTCTCTACAATTCCCCCCTGCACAGCTGGACATACACTATTTATCTTTAGTTTTTGGGAACTGTCCGCTGTCCGTTTAGGGGAATTTCAGTGTATTTCCCAGTAGCATTTTCCGGTAGTGCAGTTTGTCAGTAAGCCCCACTCTGTTCTACTCGTTCTTGCTCTCCACTAATTGCCCATCATAAATGTTTGCACCAACAAATTCCATCTCCAGCACACAGACACACAAGCACACTGGCGGACAGACCCTACCTGCACACGCATACAGTAGTTGTACCTTTAAAAGCATAAGCAGCTTAATTTACACATATTTCCCCATCGGAGAAATGATTTTCCCTTCTGCTTCTCTGGCTCTGTCGCTGTGTGTGTGTGTGTGTGTGTGTGTGTCTGTGTGTATGAAGAGCTTCTCCTTCACTTCCTTCCAATATGATTCTCTTTCTCCTTTGACTAAAAATTTTGCGAAATTGCAGCTGTTGTGTATGCATGGGTGTAGTGTATTTGTGTGTGTTAAACTCTATTTGATGCTTTTGTTGTAGTTTACTTTTGTTGCTGTTGTTGTTGTTGTTGTTGTTCTTGTGGATGTAGTTGTAGTTTGTTGTTGTAGTAGTAGTAGTAGCATCACCTATTGTTGCTTTCTCTCTCACTGGCTGTCTGCATCCTCTCTCAAAAGTTAACATGGATAAATTCCTACAAAATAATCAAGAAATTGGCTTCAAAGTCGTTTCGCTTTTTCAGGCAATACATATACATCTATGTATGTATCTCCACTATGGTAGATATATATGTTTATCAGTTGTAAAAGATAGTAGGTATGTATAGTTCTATGAGTGCGCGACTACTACTATTTACAGAGAACATTCTCCGCTATATATTGTATCTTGGATATATACAGCAAGCAAAACCGAAAAAAAAGTGATAGTTATAAATTACTAACAAAAAAACATACATCTGTTTTATAGGAAGTCTGTTGTGGTGCACACCACTCGGCACTTTTCTTTTCGCTACTTTTTGTTGTTCATATACATATGTGATGGTGGACATGGCATTCAACTAATTTACATTACACAGTACAGTCAATAGCTGAATAAACTAAAGAGCCAAGAGCTTAAAACATAATTTTAAATTGTAAATTAAATCATAAACTAAAATTAAAAACTAGAAGTGCGGCGGCTGCTGCTGCTGCTGCGGCTGCGTCAGAGGGGCAGGAGTTCTGTTGTAGAAATTGTTGTTGTTGTTGTTGTAGTTGTAGATGTTTTTGTTGAATCTTCAGAAGTCAGATTGCTCTTGTTGTAGTTGGTTGTTGTAATTGCAGTTTCACGTGCAGTTGTTGTTCGTATGGTTGTTTTTGTTTTATTATTTTTGCAGGGCAGCTCTCAACGAAAAATTGGCGACTACGAAAATTGCTTTACTTTTATGTATCTTTTTAGGGTTTAACCTAATTTATTTTTATATTTTTGTGGTGGTTGTTGTAGGAGGTGGTTGGAGGTTTGGTGGTGCAGCCAAGAAATAATGAAAGAAAAGAAAGCATATACCGAGAGATATTGGTGTAAAAAACTACGACAAAACGACAGAACAAGGCAAGAGATACATTTGTACATAGCTCTATGTAGATTCAACACTCACCTTGATAGTTCTGAGGCCAAATGGTGGGTACATTCTGCTGTAAAATTATATTGAAAATAATATCATTATACAACACTGTGAGGTTTGATGTAATTAACTTACCATTGGCACACTGTAGTACTGATAGAATGGCTGATATTGCATGGCTGAAGGTGGGTAGATGGCTGGCACTCCAGCGGCTGTAAAGTCAGTAACTAAAGTTGGTTAAATTGTTCCCCACACATTGATGATGGTTGGTTTATTTGTTGAATGTTGTACGAGTAGTAGATTGTTGTTTTGTCGATTAAATAGAAAGAGATTTATATGAAATATATAGAAAAAAGAACAAAAACGAAAAGAAAGGTATTTTTAATTGAGCAAAGAACTGAAGCAGCAAAAATGATGAGCTCGAGATTCCTCAAGGACCTAGTGGCACAAAGAGAGGGCTACGGGTACGGGGGTACGGTTATCACTCACCTGGCGGATATACTGCGGCTGCAAATTGATCCATCGGTATATTGCTTATCGGTGCCGGCGGCGTGGTTGTATAGTAAACAGCTCCATTTGTGGCCACAATCGACTGCAGAGGATTGGGCTGTTCGAAGAGGAATACCTTTAATAAGTTTTACAACTGTAAAACTATTTGCAAAAGGGCGCATACACCCCCCACACTCCATCTCGGAGCAAGGGGGGTGGTAAAGACTCACCTGTTTCTTGATGGCCGGCGCAATGTTCAATTTGCGATCACGTAGAACCACGCACTCACCCTGTGATTTGAGATGCCACACACAGAGAGAGGGAGGGAGAGATCCAAACAGAGCGACAGAGATGGAGTGATGCCATAGAGATGTGAAAGAAAGAGAGGAGAAAAGCATAAGTGGAGGGTGCATTAGAGATCGCATTAGATTTTGCATTTATCGAACACACAAGCCGAACGAAGAAATTCAAATTCAATTCAAATCGAACGCAGCAGCATCAAAAAACTTCTCAATCAAAAATGAAAATATAGTTAAAAATTAATGCTAACGCTCAACGCTTTTTGGTTTTTTTTTTACTATTTCATAAAATTCATTTGTTCATTATTTTGTAAAGATATTTTAATTTTTTTGCTTGGCCATGGCTATATAAGAGACAGAGAGAGAGAGAGAAACACGTGCCAAGGCAAAAATACCATTACCAAATACATGTGTGTATTATATAATATTAATATATATATATATATATAATGTGTGTGTGTGAGTATATAGTGGTGTGTAAATAATGTTTTATTACAACAAAATGTCATGTACAATATTGCAGCAGAATGTTTGTTTTTTGGTGGTTTTTTCTGGCTTTAAAAGCGATAAAAATTCATTTGCCAACACACTTTTTGCAACTTTGTTTTATTTTCATCATTGGTTTTTTTTCTCTATATTTCTTTGTTTTGCGGCACAACGAAAATCAACAACAAGTCTCATTTTAATCAACAAACAAAAAAAAAAACACAGTACAAATTAATTAACCAGAATTATAAACTCATTAAAAAAATTAAGAAAGAAATCAAAAGTAAGAAAAAAAGTATTCAAAATGTGGCACAAAAGCGTTTATAGAACAATTAACATATTTCTCTTTTCCCTTTTCCCTTTTTTTGTTGTTTTTTTTTGTTGTTGAAGCTGTGGCTGGCTTTTCTCTGCTCTTGGCCTCGTGTTTGCGAACGGAAAATCAATTGATTAATAAATGGGAAAAACTCATTAGAGAAGAGAAGTGTTTGGTTTGGTTTGGTTTGTGTAAATATGTAAGGACCGCGCCCGCAACAAATGTAAAAATAAATCAAATTAAATTGTAGGCAACGACAGAGAGAGAGATAGAGAGAGAGAGAAATGGCACTTATTATGGAAAACCCTCTTCTCGCTCAACAAAATCAGATTTTCCTTTTTGAAGTGAGCTTTTCTTGAAATCCCTTTTTAAAATTCCCCGTACCAGCCCTGCCCGCTTTGAGTGGTAATCCTTTTCGGTCGATCATCATCTACCGACCTTGTTTTGGCCCATTAAAAATGCATTTGGCCCCCGCACTTTGTGCCAATACAATCCTGTATTCCAATTTACATTTAATGCGAGTATCTGAAGAAAACTAGCACTCAGCGGAAGAGGATGACAGCTTTGAGAGCTGCTCGAAGCAGAAGCTGAAGCAGAAGCTGAGGCAGAAGCAGGACCGGGACGACGAGTTCATCTTTAATTGCCAATTAGTCCTGCTTCTGCTGATACCCTTGTGATTTGCGCTTGAAAAGGACATTGGAGCCGCCACTGTGGATGCTCATCAAAGAGAGCGATAAGCACAGCAGACTCCTTGAGCCCGAAGAGAGAGCGGAGCTAGTGACCTGTCCGGACAGCAGCGGTAATAACCATTAACCTAAGCAAATGTTTGCAGGCCAGGCCAAACGGAGATGGAGATGATGCTCCTGCTGCCACTGCCGCTGCTGTTCTTGTTCAAAAAAAAAAAAACAACAAGGTGGAAAATGAAAATGAAATGTAAGAAAAGGCAAGGCAAGAAAAGTAAAGGCCTCCTTCTCGGCGTATCCTTTCTGACCGCCGACGGGCAAACATTCTTTTCATTTATGTTCGAGTCCTAAGGCCACGAGCCTCGACATAAGGATAAGGGCCCTAACAAAAGGACCCAGGAGAGCACACAGTCGTCGAGTCGACAGAGTAAACTAAAGATGAAACGTATGCCACTTCTTCCTTGTCTTGGCTGAATTTAATTAAGAATCCTTTTGGTTGAGGCCCGGCTTTTACGGTTTGTCCTTTTCCATATTCTTTTGTCTCACGGACACGCACCCAGCAGGACACACACACACACACAAACAAAAGGACAACCGAAGTGGAGGCTTCACTGTTTTACGGTTGCTTTTTTGGGCTCCACTCTAAAAATAATGTAAAATTGAAGAGCTGCCGCTGCTGCCTGCTCCTGGGCAAATCTCATACATTCGAAATGCGTTTTGTGGGATCCCAGAGTCCATTCTCTGCCTGCCAACACACAAATTTGTGCTAATCTATAGCTGTTTATGGGTGTGTGGGGGCAGGGGCTTTAGGATTAGTTTCCCAACAGAAAATTAGAGTAGAAATTGAGGTAGCAGAGATGGAGAGAGAGGCAGAGAGGGAGTTGTGTGTCTGTGTGTGGTTTATGCCAAAACCATAGTTTTCCTCGAATTTATATCATTCTGTGGCTTTTGATGAGCGTAACCCGTTGTCTCCCTCCCACTCCCCGCTCTGCTTATGGGATAACTGAATGTGAAACTTTTTCAAAATGAAATTTAATTAGTTTGTGTGTGTGTGAGTGTATCCATGATCCATGTTTAATTGTGTGTGTGTTTGTGTATTTTTTTGTGTAAATTAAAACTTTGTTAAACGTTGGTAAGCCCATTGTTTGCTGCTGGTAGCCCTAGTCCTACACCCGTGTCCGTGCCCCGTTTTCAGGCTGTTTTTTTTGTTGCACAGAAGTGTTGTCGTTGGCGTTGTCGTTATCCTGCTGTGTTGTTCCGCCATGGGGCACATTACTCGAGTACCAGCGCTGCATTGTTGCTCTCTGTTGCTCTATTTGTTGTTGCTTGTTGGTGGTTCGCTCTTTTAGCTTTTTCCCCTTTTGGCTTTTGCCAAGGACACTTGTATGTCCCAGAGGGAGTACCAAAGAGGAGCCCCCAACAATGAGAAGCCAACAACAATGCATATTAATGATGAGGCAGCAAAAGTTTTTCACTTAATATGCCACAGAGCACTGAGCGCACGGCGGAAGCTGCAGATAGACAGAGCAAGACAGGGCCGAAAGAGAAAGAGAGACAACAAAGCAGTGAACTGTGGGAAGAGCATTTTCCCCACCACCAGAAATGGTTAAAAGTTGCATCAGCCACAGAGGGCGGCACGGAGGCTGGGCAGTCGTTATGCAATAATTATAATCAATTAGTATGCACCTGAACAACTGTCGCGGAGCGGAGTGGAGTGGAGCAGAGGAGCAGAAAGATGATCAAGAGACTATATTAGGGATGCCACAAGTTTGTGTCTCTCTGCGTGGGCAATCGAACTGGAAACGTGCCCTGAAAGATTTCACATTTCCCCCACAGACACACAGACCGACCATCTACAGCTCAATGAACTTTTTTTGTTATGGCGCTCACTTACTTGTGGAATAAATCGTATTATAAGTTCATTAATTCATTGTTTCTTTGGGTTTTATATTTTGCAAATGCAACAAATGAGAGAGAGAGAGAGAGGCAGAAACGTAAAAGATGTGCAGCAACATTTGATATGAACTCAAAAATCAATAATCAGAAAATATGCAACGAACGGAATGCAACGGAACTAACGCACTACGGAAGTACGCAAATATCTTGGTCTAAATTTCTATGTATGTGGTCTATTCTCTTGGCCAAAAAAACGCAACAGAACAACAACCAAAAGGAGAACCAATGGCCAACAAAGGTTTTTTGCTAATTGTTTTTTTGTTTTGTTTTTTGTTTGCAATTTAAAATATGAGCGGGTAAAAACGGTGCAACGGAACTCAACATTTTTTGATTTTTCAACTTTTTGCATTTACGCTCAAAACTCGGGCATTATATGTATGTACTTTCGATCTATATAAAGTGGTGTGTGTCTATAAGGTGTAGTTGTTGTGGGGTATCTTTGGGGTTGTGTTTAGGTTGTGTGTGTTTAGTGGGTGTGTTTTGTGTGTGTTTGTTGTGGTTTGTGTGTTCTGTGGCAGTATGAAAACGATATAACGTAAACGCAACGGTAATTGAAATGGTAACGTAACGTAACGTAATATGTTAACGCAACGTATAATGGATAAACGGATAACGTAACGCTTGGAACGTAAAACTCAACGCAAAAAACGCAATAAGAAGGAAAAAAATGTATAAAAAGAACAGGAACAAAGAGAATGCCGTCCGTACCTAAAGGCGTTTTTTAGGTACATCATTTATCTTTGGATCATCAATTAATCAATATCATATCATACATATCACTATATGATATATGGATACAGTTATGGGGCCCCCCTCCCCACTGGAGTGGTGGTCGTTTCTGGTAGTAGTAGTAGGAAGTACATAGGCGGCGTCTCATACTATCAGTAGCAGTAGTTGGTAGTAGTAGATATAGTAGTATCTTTTGTGTGTTGTGGGGTCAAGAGTGGTGGTGGTGGTGGTGGTGTTGTTGGTACATAGTAGGGGGCCCTAAAAGATCGAACGGGATCACAATTTAGAAGGTTTTTCGTTTGTCTCTAAACACACGATTGTCGATTATCGCACGACGTTTCTAGAGTTTTAAATGAGAATTTTTGCATGAGTTTTGTACGATGTATGGGTATGATATCTATACGCGGAGTAGTGTTATCTTTTTTTTTTTTCGTTCGGGTGTTTTGAAATCATAATAGTTGAAATAGTTTGTTTTTGTTTTTTTGCAAACAGGCGACGCATTAGCAGGATAAGAAAGGATTTTGTCTCTCAATGGAGCAATACTCACATCCGATTGCAGTCTTTGCGCCTCCTGCTCCGTCTCGAATGTGACAAAGCCATAACCCTTGCTCACACCAGCACGATCCACTATAATTTTGGTGCTCTTCACCGTACCATATGCACTGAAGACGCGCGTCAAATCAGCTTCGGTGGTATCGCCACTGCAAAAAGACAGAGAGAGAGAGTGAGAGTGTGATAAATATATCCTTTTGGATAGTTATGTTTCTGCTTACCTTATTCCTCCCACAAATATGCGATTTGGTATCAATGTGCCATATTTGGGCGCCGCCAGTGGCGCATCAAGTCCACCAGCTGGCGCTGAGGATGGCGGCTGTGCGCCTATTTTGTGCATCTCACCGGGTGTCGTCTCCAGACGAAAGTTGGCCCCAAATGGCAGAATCTTGAGGCTGTTTTGTGTCGTTGGGGGTGCGCGCTGGCCGAATTTATATTCTTCACACTGGGCAAAGCTTCTTTGCTCTGCCTTTTGCCTTCTTTGCAAAAAGGTTACGGACTGTGTGGCACGACTGACTAACGATTAGACGGCGGCTGCTGGCGCTGCTGCTCTTGCAGTTGATAACGTGATAATTGTTGTCGCAAGCATAGGTACAGAGAGGATGGATGGATATCTGTAGCTGTATCTGCCGATGGCTCTGGCTGATATTTTATTTTCTATATATAATATATTCTACAGATCGTACTCATGTATCTGTTTGTAGCTCTATTTGTTTTGACGTATTCGCACTGCCTGCTCCCACACGGATTCCTTTGTTTTTGTTGAAATCTAGAAACGATATAGAAAGGTTATATAGAAAAGTTAGTTAGTGAAGAGCTGAGAATTAGTTGTGTGCTCATTAAGAAACCATTAAAATAATCAGCCACATGGCTGGGGCAACTACAAAAGAGAGAGAGAGAGAGAGATAGGGAGAGAGTCAGAGAAAAACAGGCTAAGAATTGCCCCCTACATTTCGAAATGATTCTATTTCTGGCGATACGAGCAGCAGCAGCAGCACACAGCGACATATGTCACACGAGGGAAAATGCTGAATGCACAGATACAAAGATACGCAGCTACAGGGAGAGCGAAAGAGAGAGAGAGAGAGGCAGTGCCACACATGTGTGCACCATAAATTCACCTTCAGAGGCAACGAGACGAAAGACAACTAAATAGCACAGAGGAGTTTAATTTTAACAGCAGCAGCAGCCGGCGCACACGTACACACAAATGTATCTCAAAGATACATAGATAGATACAGCGCATGCAGGCTATGAGATATCTATGTAAATATATTTAGTTACATGGCTTCAAGCTCCCAATTAAATGCATGTCAGTCTTTGCCTTCATCAAACATTTGATGTATCTACGAGATGCAGGGATACACACACTTTGCATGTTCCAAAAGGAGGGACACAACATTGCATGCCACAGATACAGATACAGATACAGATACAGCTACGGATACGTAGCGCCACACAGCACACACCCCACTTAACGATCTATTTATTTGTGGAGGTCCCCACCTCCTATCTGTATCGCTTATCATTTCACATTTATCAGAGGGAGGAGCAAGCTTCTACAACCCACAAAAAACAACTGTCCGTCTGCTGTCCGTCCGTCCGTCTGTCTGTCCGGGGGATTGGCACATAGCAATGAAAGCATAATTAAATTTTCATTAACAATGAAAATGTCAAAACTGTTGGCGTTTGCCCGCCCGCTTCTCGCTCGTTCCCGTTCCCTTTCCGTTCAGGCATTTCAATTGTATTTGATCGATTCAACAGATACACGGAATGTCCCAGGCCCCCTCAACCCAACATATGCATATGTATATGTGTATTTGTGGATACACGTAGCAGATATCTATTTAATGAACGGTGTGTCTGTCTGTCTGTCCCTGTGTCTCTGTGTCTGTGCCAGCATGTGATTTTAACTCTACTTTCCACCACACGATAGAAAAAACAAGAACAATAAAAACGTTTCTCTATCCACAAAACTAATAAATTTAATGCAAATGTATCCATAAATTATGCTTAACAATTGTCAAATGAATATTTCCTTATAGTTTTTTTCCTATATCTGTTTTTCCACTTATTAAGCAAAAAAAAAGAACCGAGAAAAATCGTTTCTGCTTCTATGGCTATATCTGTTGGCTGTATCTTGCATCTATATATCCTATAAATACTCTTCGCAATCCGTTCATATTTTTCTCTAAAAGCTTTCTAGATATTCTAGGCGCTCGAACGGAAGCAACAAAAAAGTGGGAAAGGCAAGACGGAGGCGGCCCAATGGCTAAGTGCCCCTGACATGATTCATGGATGGGATTCATGAGTGCCTGGCCCTCATTCGCACAGACAAATCTTAATTATTAAAATTGTATGAAATTATTGCTTTATTTTTGAGCAACTTTAAGGCCGAGGCATTAGGGAAATTGATGTGCGACGAAGGCAGCAGCAGGGGGCGAAAAACTGTCACAACAGGGAAAATTAAGAGACAGAAAACTGGAGCATAAATTATTAAAATATTCATTACTGCGGGAGGGAGACCACAGTAGAGAATAAAGAGAAGCCCCTGACATCGACATCGACATCGACCATGGAAACACCAACCAACAGCAACAGCTGGAGGCCAGAGGTCAGGCTGGAAAAATCACAGAGTCAGCATTGGAGCGTGGAGAGGTGGGAGGCATGACAACGGAAGGTGGCAAGCGGCAGTCGCTCCATCAATGGAATTTAATCAACAGCAGCAGCAGCAGCTTAAAAACTCTACCAGCATCGACCACCTCGCCCCAGCTGTCAGTCCGTCAGTCCGCCCATCATTCCGTCAGTCTCTGCCACATGGCGGGTGGCTGACTGCTGCTGCCGCTGGCTACTCCACAATATTGCAAAATTCCACGTGCGAAAATTGCGCGAGTAATGGCGGGCGGGCAGAGCTAAAGAATTTTATTATCCATGAGGGCTTCACGTATCCCATAGATACAGATATAGATATAGATACAGCTACAGATACGACTACGACTACGGGAATGCTCTCTCAAGGGAGTGCATGTGGCAGATACACAGATACATGGACTCAGGCAAAAGAATTTAAAAATTTTGGCTCAATGGAATTTGCGCGCTGATTGGATCATTCCTCACTTCCCTCTCTCAGACCCTGTTGAAAAGGGAAATGCGGGAAATGCAATCGGGGAAAACACGTTAACAATTTGCAGCTCCAATATTCGATTGAAACCACACAACAACATTTTGCACAAAACATTCAATGGAGTGTGGCGCTTCGGATTCATTCTCGTTTCGGTGTTTTATTTGCTTAGTCTTTTTGCTCGTTTTTTACCTTTATTATTTGTGGCACATTTCAAGCGTACATTTTTGGGCCAATTTGGGAAATGCAATTAGCCAAAACGAGAGAAAATGGAGAAGTAGGAGGAGCCACTGTGGGGTAGACAGAAGCTGGGGGCAAGTGGGAGCAGAGGCTAGCGAGAAAGAAGCGAGTTCCAGTTCTAGTTTTGCCCAGAAAAAAGCGAGAGGAGGGTAGCCAGTCGTAGAGCTACAGCTGTTGGCCATTAGGGTAGTGGAAGCTTTAGTTCTGGCCATGTGGCAGCAGGGGAATCGGTGGCTCTGAGAGGGAGAGTGGGCGGCAGAGAGTGCAAGTTTGACCTATAAAACTGTGGCAGAAAGTGTGGCAGAGTGTGGCACAGTTACTACGCGGCATATAGAAAAGGAAATGAAGCAAAAACACACAGCTGTGTGGCCAAGAACAAGGCCAAAAGTGGTGCCAGGGCACGCTAGAGGGAAAGAAGAAGGCCAACAGAGGGAAGAGAAGAGTCGTCGGAAGAGCAGCAGCAGAAACAATCAGGAAGGATGCAAAAGGGAAGGATCCCAGGAAAGGAAGGAACCGATGGCAAGGAAATAAGCAAGCAGGGAGTAGTGTGTGGCAGGAGAGGAAGCAAGAAGTGTGGCAGGAGGATGCAAGGGGAAGAGCAGTTCTTTCCTTCCTTCCTTCCTTCCTTTGAAATACAATTTTAAAACTAAACTGCACACAAGAGACACCTGCAGTCTGCCTCTCTCCCCAAGGAACAGATAAGAGAAGAGCTAAGGCAGTGTTCACTGTACTCCTGCCACACGTGCACATCCTTTGTCCTCGTATGTAAAAGGTATACACTTGTGTGTGTGTGTGTGTGTGTGTTCGTCCTTGCCAAAATGTGGCAGCACCCAAGGCGAGGCGATAGTCAGGTGCTGATAAAACGCTGACAGGGCGAAAGGGAAATCTAAAGGGCGAGATTGCTGCGCCTTGCACTATGCTACACAAAATGTAGCAGGAAGCCCCCCGTGTGTGTGTGTGTGCACTCCTATGCTGTTGGACATCCCATCCATCCATCCATCCATCCCCACTGATAAGTCCTTCGTATCCAAGTCACATAAGGACAATTAGCCAACAGCAAAAGGCTGTGGCTCAAAACAGTTTAAGAGCCCATAACGGCAAACATCACGAGCAGCAAGCAGCAGCAAGAGGCAGCATTTCGGGGCAGCAGCAGGAGTGACAGCTCATGGCTCTGATGGCTGAATGACTGAGGCATGACGATGACGTTGTGGCATGTACGTGTTGGTGCATAACTTAACTGAAAAAGAACCCCTCCGCTCTCCCTGCCAGCAGCCATCCCATGTGACAGCCAGCGAGTGGGTTAAGGAGATGATGATGATATCCCAATGAAATGGAAACAGAGTGGCGGAGGGCAAAGGTCAATTGAAGTTCCCAAAGCAAAGAAAAGGACAGGGAACAGGGAACAGGGAACAGGGGGAGAAGCAAACCACGAGAGTGAAAGAAGAAAAGAGCAAAAAGTCAGTCAGGAGGCCAAGTCAAGTGTAAAGCGAGAAAGCGCACAAAAATGGCACAACCAAACACACACACACACACACATACAGCACACACCACAGGCACATGCATGGATTGTGAATGCACTGACGGACAGTGCGCCGGAAGTGGAAGTGCTTCGAGTGCCTCGACTCGACGCTCGACTCGCGGCCCACCTCTGCCATTCACCAGCTCTGCCCACATGTTATACAATCCTTGGGCGAAGACGAGGACGAGGACATGGACTGTGTGGACTGCGGACTACCGACTCAGTGTGTGTGTGTGTGTGTGTGTGTGGACGATGGGTGTTCACGGGGCTTTTGGGTGTCAGTCAAGTGAAAGGAAATTGTAGCACACAGAAGCAGAAGCAGCAGCAGCAGCAGCAGAGCCAGACAAACCAACAGACAAACAACATCATCATCATCATCGTCAGCCTCGTTCTCATCCACATCCACGTCCTCGTCGAGACGCTGGGCTTTGGGCCTCAGCAGCAGAAGCAGCTAAATTGATGGCCTGCCATCAAGGGATGGAGGCACATCCATCCATGCTCCATGCTCCGCACATCAGCCAGCCAGCCAGCCAGCCACCCACTCCTTCTGCTTTGCCCTTCTTCCTGCTTGCCACCCGACGCCCACACGTACATACACTATGTGGCACACACAAAAATCCATAATCCTCGACAGTAGAAGCCAGTGGCAGTGGCAGCAGCAGCAAAAGGGAAACGTTAAACTACAAAAGCGCGAGCACAAATTGCTACCAAGTATCCCTGTGTTAGTTTTTTGCAACAGTATCAGTGTGTGTGTGGGTGTGTGTGTGTGTGTGTGTGTGCGCGTATCAAAGCCAAAAAACTTGTGTGAAACAATGAAACTTTTGCTGGCGCTGCCTGTCCAACTTCTTGTATTTTATTTGTATTTGGATCTTGGTTTTTTCTCTTTTTT